GCTTCTATATTTCTCTAATATTTTGAATGCATAATGCAGCAGTGGTGCGTCTCGTGGGCTTGACTAACAAAACATTATATTACAACAACGTCACTTACATCATCATCACCGCATCTCGTGCGCCACTGGTGACGCTCCCTGATGCACACCTAACATTCAAATGCAAATGTTTATTTTAAATTCGACTAATATTCATTCTTTATTCACAATCTCCTCATCGCAGGCACAGCACTCATTTCAGCATGTGTTCGTCTTCGTGTGTGCTGTCTGCGTCACTCATAGCACGTGCCTATATCATGCACTATAATGTACGAACATTTTTTATATCATTATCGAAGAAGGTGTACCGTCGATAAATATCGATACCGTTTTATCGCCTAGGCCTACCGTGACACCATATTAGTTTGATATATAGCCTACTCTATGGTGCTAAATGATACCATGTTCAAACAGCAACACCAGAGGTTGGTGAAGGAAGATCTTCACAAACTACACAAAATGATGGACCTGTGGCAGTTTTTAACTCATGATGCATGTTTGAAGTGAACCAGACACACATGTAACCAGTGATATGCTGTTGTTAATGAACAACACAGCATTTCTTGTCAAAGGTCAGCTTGAAACAGGTTGCCAACCAAAGGAAAATTACACTGTAAAAATATTTATCAAAGTAAATAAATCAAAGTACTTTAGCATATACATTTGACCCTGCCAGTCAACGCTGCAACAATGCGACCTATATGAAATCAGAATGGACAGCATTAATGTGGGATCAAACAGATTGTGTGGTGCTAATGAAAGCGATTCACGTCGCGTGTGTGTTTCTGTTATTCAGGTGGAACGGGAGAAGGTGACGCTGCTGTCGACCCTGCAGGAGTCTCAGAAGCAGCTGGAGCAGACTCACGGAGCGCTATCTGAGCAGCACGAGAAGGTCAACCGTCTCACCGAGAACCTCAACGCCATCCGCAAACTCCAGGCCAGCAAAGAGCGCCAGTCCGCTCTGGACAACGAGAAGGATCGCGACAGCCACGAGGACAGTGAATACTATGAGGTGGACATCAACGGCCCCGAGATCCTGGAGTGCAAGTACAAGGTATAGAAATATAAGTTTTTTCGTAGATTTTTTTGTGGCATTTTTTATCTGCGGCACAAGACATAATGAAAAAAAATCTTAATCTAAAATGGTGAACCAGTCGATAAATATATTTTCATTCAACACCAAAACAATATCATTAAAAATAGACTATTTAGTTTGCTATGTATTTTGTTCTTATTTTGAGCACAAGGCTGAAAGAAAAGAGCACTTTGAACTTTGATTGGAGAGTTGTTAGCCTAAATTTGCCTTATAAAGTGCACAGTTTATCTCTATCAATATTCTTTTGTTTCTGTTCTGCATTATTGACATTTGTATAAGACACCAGACAAACAGATTTCTGCAGCTCTTAACTCAAATCACAAAACATAAATTCTGTATTTCTCAAAATAAGTCAAATGTCCAGGGAAATGCAAACACTGAACTTTAATTAATAGTAATCCATTAAATAATACAAATTAGTGCTGTCAAACGATTAATCGCATCCAAAATAAAAGTTTTTGTTTACATAATATGTGTGTTTATTGTGTATATTTATTATGCATATTTAAATACACACATACAGCATATATTTTGAAAATATTTGTTTATATTTATATTCATATAATTTATATAATACATAAATATATTTAATATACAAATATAACATATTTTTCTTAAATATGTACATGCATGTGTGTGTATTTATATATAAATAGTAAATATACACAGTACACATACATATATTATGTAAACAAAAACTCTTATTTTGGATGCGATTAATCGTTTGACAGCACTAATATAAACACTTAATGGACTTAATCTCACTGTATTTGCCAGTGCTGATCTTCAGTGATTAAATTCCACCATGAAAATTTCTTTCTTTCTTTCTTTTTGGAAAAAACGGTGGCTTGCGTATCTGTTTCCATGAGTTGTATTCCTTCAGACCAGTGAATATTGGTTTTGTTGATGTTTACTGTTAAAAATCTTAACATCAAACTTGGAATCATTTGCGAGTGCAAATTTATTCTCCTGTGAATTTTACGTCAGCAGTGCTATTAGTATGTGGAAATATGGCCATGTAGAAATGCATTTCAAATCTGTCATTTTAGTTTTTTTAGCTTCCATTTTAATTTAGGATGCTGCCTTAAAAGGTTCCTCCTTTTTTAGACAGTGAAGCATTTCACTAGTTCACAGTTCAACAGTGACGTCCCTATACTATGTGTAGTTCAAATCTATTAACACAGTTATTGACATATTGCTTGGGACTTACTGATATAAAAATTATAATTAAACTTCATTTTAGAGTGCTACTTGCAAAAGTGAACATTTCTTAATATTAAGCTTAAAATGTGTTTTAATGTCACTATTGATGAGGATTGTGTGATCTTTGAATAATAAAGGTCTTTAAATGCAAGATATTTAAAGTGTACCTAAAGTATACCTGCAGTAGTTCCACTTTAGCACAATAAAATATACTTCAGTATATCTTTAGTTGGACTTCAGCACAATTAATGTGCATTAAGTACGAAATTAGTTAATCCCATTTAGCAGACTTTAAGTAATGCAGGGTATTTTTATTAAGTACATAAATATGTAAATGTATTTGTAGTATACTTAGCACAAAATAAATGTATTTCAAATACATTTTAGTGTATTTTTCACTAGGGGTCATGTGCTGATTTGTTTGATGCCACAGGTTGCTGTGTCTGAGGCAAGTCAACTGAAGGAGGAGCTCAAAACGTTAAAGGCAGAACATTCAGCCTGTCAATCTCAGTATAAGGGGGAGCGGGTGCAGCTGGAGAGCCAGGTTGCATCATTAAGCACACAATTCACTTCTCTGGAGTGCAGCAGCAGAGCCGACCGTGAGCAGCTGGCGCGGCTGGAGAAAGAGCTCCGTCAAGCCAGCGAAGTGGCAGGCGAATCCCAGGGCAGCCTTAACATCGCACAAGACGAGCTTGCCACCTTCAGCGAGGAGCTAGCCAACCTCTACCATCACGTATGCATGTGCAACAACGAAACGCCGAACCGCATCATGCTCGACTACTACCGCGAAGGTAAGGCTGGCGTTAATGGCACACAGACCACAGGCTGGGGCAGCCCTGATGGTCGCGGACGCCGCTCTCCCATCCTGCTGACCCGCGGCCTCTTCCCCAGCGACGGAGCTTCGTCTCCGGTCTCCTCCGTCCCGTCCCCGGTGCCTGATCCCCGCAAAGAGCCCATGAACATCTATAACCTGGTGGCTATCATCCGTGACCAGATCAGACACCTGCAGCTAGCGGTGGACCGCACCACCGAGCTCTCGCGCCAGCGCATGGCTTCCCTGGAGCTGGGTCTCGGGGCAGACCGAGACCAGGAGGCCAGCGTGGAGGAGATCCTCAAACTCAAATCACTCCTCAGCACCAAGAGGGAGCAGATAGCCACGCTGAGGACTGTCCTGAAGGCCAACAAACAGGTCAGCGTTTCCCTCTCATCGCTACACTGATACACTGGTGCATTACAGCAGTGGGTCTTAACTAGTGTTTCTTCATCATGACTGACTTTGTATTGATTTAAAATGACACCAGGGACTCCAGAGTCATGTTGTGTGTTTGACTCTTTGAAGAAGCTGTCTGACTTTAGACTACCTGAGTCAAATGTGTTTTTTTTAAGGAACTAAAAGATAAACAGCTGTCAAACACAGCAAATCGTTCCTGTTGTTTCTAACATTTAAGGACAACCTTCTGCTGTTTTGTTTATGTATTATATAACATTCCTCAGTCCCTCCAGTTTTTTGCGATTCCAAAAAAATTCTACTGTTGCTATCTCAGCGGAAGCAAATTTGTCTAAACATGTCTGTGATTATTGTTTTAGCATATGGATGGGTGATATCACAAGTGTCAAATCGACAGAGATTTTGTTTTTATATGAGGTACAACTTTCAGTGGACAGTACTATTTAAAGTTATTAACACATTAGAGTGATTAATAAACATGTATGAATAAAAAATATAAAAACATCACATAGTTGACAGTAATATAAAGAGTTATTAAAAGCGGATTTGTGTTACTTTTGAGCGCTTTTTGCCTTGCAAAACGCTCACCAAATCGTCTGTCTTGTCGAGTATTAAAGAGGTCATATGATGTTGCTAAAAAGAACATTATGTTATGTATTTGGTGTAATGAAATGTTTATGCAGTGTAAGGTTCAAAAAAACACATTATTTTCCACATACTGTACATTATTGTTTCTCCTCTCATTTAACATGATACAATATGGTGAGTGTGTTATCAAAATATGTATCGTGCAAATTTTTGGAAATTACCACAGCAAAATCAGTCATTTTGATCGCAAAAATTACAGAAAAAAAAACCGCGAAATCCTGGAGGGACTGATTTCTCAACTGCTTGATTGCTTGTATTGTCACAAAATGTAAACTATATATTATCGTCCAGCTCTAATCTGCTAAATGCGACTGTCAGTGTTGGGGAAAGTTACTTTTAAAAATAATGCATTACAATTAGGGGTGGAACAATAAATCGATTCATGGATCAATTCTGCGTTTTTCCGAATGCATCACAATTCTCTCTTAAATTGATTCTGAGCTTAGTTTTTAACAGCAGAGGTGAATCGCAGTGCATTCGGTAAATTGCAGAATCGATCCACAAATTGATTTATCGTTCCACCCCTAATCACAATATTACTTTACTTAGTTATTTTTTTATGGAAAGTAATGCATTACATTAATTTTGCATTACTTCCAGCATTACTTGCTGTTTTTTAATAAAAAAAACAAAAAACAAAAGTTATATTTTTGGCAACTGTAAAGGCCCTTTCACAGCAAAAGTGAAGTTATTAAACCTCCGGAAGTGCCTCTGCCTAAATATCACTCCCGATTTCTCTCAACTGTCAGTGAAGTACGCGTTACTTATTTGAAAATTAACTCAGATGTTTTGTTGTAAATTTAAACGTAATGTTACTTTACTAGTTAATTAAAAAGTAATCTGATTACGTAACTAGTATTACTTATAATGCGTTACCCCCAACACTGGCAACTTCTATTATTTACATTAACAAGCTGCCAATTGCCTGTGTGTTTGTTGTTGTTGTTTTCCAGACCGCTGAGGTGGCGCTGGCCAACCTGAAGAGCAAATATGAGAACGAAAAGGCCATGGTGACTGAAACCATGATGAAGCTTCGCAACGAGCTCAAAGCCCTAAAAGAGGACGCAGCCACTTTCTCCTCGCTCAGGGCCATGTTTGCCACACGGTATGAGATGCACACTCCTACAGATCTATGAAAACACACATTAGCAACAGTTTATTTGGTCTTATGACACTCTCCTGTATTTCCTTCTCTGTTCTCATACAGAAGTTTAGAGCACAGTTTGATAGATGGAGCACCTGGACCTGATTTTTGTCTGTTGCCTATAAAATGAAAAATATAAGGACAGAAACTAATAACAATCATGTTTTCATTGTAGTGCAGTTACCAATAACATTTCATATTTTGTCTTCAACAGTAAAGCACTGAGTTGCGGCGCAGATATAAATTGACATTAACATCATCTCTCCTTTCTTACATTCAGAGAGTATTAGTGCAGAACAGATTATACACCGAAGAAAAGAAAAACTAAAATCTTGGTCTTTAATTCACACAAATCTAGGCCCTACAGCTTTTATTTTTACTTTGTATTTGCCCTTGTGAATACCAGTGTTTGCCTGTAGTATCCAGACTTTTAACAGTTTGTAGATCATAGACATGTCTTACTACTTTAGATATAATTGTTATTATTCAGATTGTTTAGCTTCCAAAAAACATGAGTTTTTATGTAATGTGGACTGAGAAACTATAAAGCGGCTTGAGTCCATTTTAAAGTCCACAAATAAGTCAATGCAAAGACCTGCACTGTTGAGATGGTTTGTAGCAAGTAAATGTGCGAAAAGCAAACTGTGGCTGTCTGTTTTCCATGTAGGTCATAGGGACCCTTCCTGTCTAAGTTGGTAGTTTTTGACCAGATTAAGATAAAAAGGTTTGTCTTGTGAGAACAGACTCCTAGTGATTGGGACCAGTAAATCCAGTCTCAGCTGCAGGTATGGGTCAGAGTAAATCTACAGTTAAGTCTTTCCAGACAGACTGTAAGCTGTGACAGCATATGGTGCCCAATCAGACTCTCCTGACACGTGAACACCATCAATGACTTCTCTGTGCTTAACGTGTTTCAGGGAGGAACGGCATACATGTGTGAAATTGTTTCTCTCATCCTCCCTCAAACAGGGCTCGAAATTATTTTTTTTTTACTTGGTAGCACTGGTGCTCCCAACTTTAAAAAGTTTGGAGCACCAGCAAAAATTTAGGAGCACCCACCAAAAATTTATGAGCACCACAACTACTAATTATATATTAATATATTTCATCTTTACATTCTTAACTTTAATGCAGATTTTAGGTTGGTTAATGTGCCCCTATTATGGATTTTTGAAAATTACCTTTGATGCAGTGTGTAACACAGCTCTAAGTGAATGAAAACATCCTGCAAAGTTTTAAATCTGAAAGTTCACCGTGTATAAAGTTATTGTCTCTCAAAAGAAAGAGTCGACTGAATTATTGAAACGAGTCATTTTTAAAACGAATCCCAAGCCGTTTCATGTTGACGTCAACATGAAACATTAGCATATTACCCGTCCACTTGTTGGTCTTTTCGCATTGGTCTAAATGAAAATGCAAATTCATTCTTTGCCACTAGGTGCCGCTTTTGGAGCGGTATAAATAGCGGTTTCCCCGGTAACGCTGTACACAAAGCAGCACTGCGCTCACAAACGCTGCTTTATCAGGCGTTACAGGCATGATGACATGAAAATGAGACCAATCGGACAAATCACCGCAGATTAGCATCATTCAAAGGAGGGGTTTGGAAAAATGAATCATTGAGCGAATCTTTTGGGAGTCGTTGAGCAAGTAAGGTAAAAATAAATACATATTATAAGACAACGAAAGTATTTTTTGACCTTGCATGCATGTCAACCTGTTGTTGGGGACTCCCAAAACCAAAATATGAACCTTTCATCGCCAATAATAGGGGCACTTTAGTATTAGCTGTCAATCACCCAGTCACGCTGTCAGGTGACAGGGAGCTAACTACCGCGGGAGATGCAAAGGGCTGAAGAAGAGAGAAAATGAAAAGAAACACTGACAGATTCCTGAGTTTGGTTAAACACACAGAGAGAGAGCTCCTATTTGGCGAGGGTTAGGATGGTGTATGCGGTGTTAAATTTTACATTCAGCTCTGCCAATTGCACGGAACGGCTGGCAGCTAGGGGGTGTGCGATATTGACAAAAAATTATATCTCCATATTTTCTGGCGCGGAACGGCTGGCAGCTAGGGCTGTGCGATATTGACAAAAAATTATATCTCGATATATTGTAGGATTTAATCGATAACGATAATTAGACAATATTTTGCTGAGTGTGTTCTTGTGTTATTGTGCAGGTAGTCTTAAGGACTATACCGTGGACAGCTGACTTTGATATTCTTCATATTCTGTGTGGTGGTCAGTTCACAGCAGTGATAGAAATTAATCTTTTCCAATAAGTTTAAATTGATTTTTACCTTTTATGGTCATTTTTACAATTAAGCCATTTTTTTCTAAAAGTGTGCATCATCATTTGAGTCAAATTCTTACATTTAATCAGTCAATTAGAATAATAAGACATTTGGGCTTTTATCAAGCAAATGAAATCAGTATCAACAAAATTCATCTTTGCAATGCAGAGGAAACACAGAAGCTGCGTCTGAATTGGCATTTAGATGCATTTACACACTGCTTAATGCAGGACATGAATGCATTTAACCTGCAGTTACACATGTATATATAATGTTTTAATACTGTAAACATAAAACATTGAATACTGATGGTTAATGAAAAGGTGAAAAGGTACCTTATATGTGAAATTAAAACCGCCAGCAGGTGGCAGCAAGTCACTGTTAATAAGTGAGTCATTGCGTCTGAACCGAATCATTTAAACGGTTGATTCATTCAGGAACAAATTTAAACAGTTGATTCATTCAGGAACAAAACACCGTCATGTTGCTCAGAGACGCAGAACAGTGCTGTGGCTTTGTTTGGAATTATTTCTGTTGTCGAAATATGAGTGAAATATGGTGTCTAAAACTCAAGTCTTAATATTAACTTCTTGTTTATTGAACTGTTGTATAAAATCAATATCACATTTGTAATCATGCTGATTTTTGGAGGAAAAAACGGCACTCTTCGTGTGATATTAACTATATGAAATGATTTAAAGCCCCCATATCTTGAATTTTGTGATGCTTTTTAATAGACTGAATCATGCAGTGAAAAAAACACTCTAAGGCCATGTCCACACGTACACGGCTATTTTTTTATAAAGTTTTAAATTATAAAGTTTTTCCTCCTTCCGTTTTAAAAAAAATCTCTGTCCACATGAAAACGCAAACGCATGCTATGAAGCACTGTCAAGAGCATGCCAAACCAACAGGTGGCGATATAATCTCAACCGTAAAGCCATGTTGGCCAATCAGAAGCCTGAAAAAGTCTCCAGTAGGCAGAGATAACAGCGCAGACTCCGACGTCACAAGCCAAAAACTCCGGTTTCGCTGTCTACACGATACACGAAGAGTTTTTGAAAATCTTCACCCTGGCAGGCGTTTTCAAAAATGTTTGGTTTCAGTGAACTGGTGCTGCATTTGCGTGTGGACAAACGGCCAAACCACGTAGAAAAAGCTGCGGTTTAAAAAATAACCGCGTTCGTGTGGACAGCAGTGGCGGCTCGTGGGTTTTAAAATAGAGGAGGCACACTTAATTGTATTGGTCTGGGATCCCTGCCGATTATTATTATTATTATTATTATTTGCTTAACCACTTTAAAATGGCTTTTTGGTTGCTTTTAGTCAGAAAACATAAAGAAAACGAAACGCACAGCCTACAGCAAGATAATATAATTTCACTTACCTGGCCTATCACTTGAAGCAAACATCCATCCCTTCTTAAAAGTCTGTGCTAAAAGAGACCTGCCTGTTGTGCCATTTAATTAAACCGACTGCTGTAACCTATATCCAGCTTAGGCGTGTTCTCCCTTTATTTTAAATTTGTATATATATATACTGTTTGAATGACAGCTTGGTAAATCTGTTGGCGATCAAATATTCAATATCGCTACTCATCATAAGTACTTGGTACATTATCAGCGCAGTGGGAGACGTTCAAACTAATATCACGTAATTTACGTCTCTTTGATGATTGGTTGATATCAGAAGGGAGGCTAGCCTCCCATGCGAGGGTTCTTTTCCCAACACTCCTCAGCGCTGAAAGTGAACACTCGATGCTGATTGGCTAATTTTTTTTACCAACGGAGGCACGAGAGCTCAGCTCTCCCCCGGCCTCCCCCTCCCCTCCTCTATCACCTAGCGGTTGTAATTACATCAGCAGATTCGGCACATTCGCGATAGAAAAGCGGCGCTTTCCAAATTCAGTAACATGTTATGGTATTACAGCTGTGAAATTACAAACAAAAAAATACACATTCTGAGACATGAACTGAAATGAATTGTGAATGTTATTAACATTAAATCGTCTTCCTCCCATTTTCACCTCAACATTTTGGGGAAGCTGTGCCTCCCCCGACGAGCCGCCACTGGTGGACAGGGCCTAAATGCACATGCACACTAGTCTAACCTACTAGACTTCATCACGTCATGTATGCGTGCACTCTCTGTAGCGGTTTTGTTTGGTTTTTGCAATATACTCGATAATGTCAAATCGCACATGGTTAAAACAACTACTACGATGTTATCGCAGACCCCTATGTGAGCATCCTGAAGACCTTAACGATTGAACCTGATGATCCTGAACATTTTGCCACACACTTGTCCCTGCATTTCTTGTGTTTGGCACTCTCTCCGTGTTTAACCAAGCTCTACGAGCTTAAAATGTGTAGATTTGGTGGCGAATGCTGTTAGTGTTACCTTTAAAGTGGCTTTAAAGTGAATGCAGTGCATAGAGCACAGTGCATTTTCATAGCGGAGCCACTCAAAGTCTTTCAACCATTCTCTCCGAAGACTGTGCGCCTTCTTTTCGGCTGGTGGATCAACATTCACCACATGATCGCTATCACCAGCACCATTATTTGTAACTTTAGGTGGTTTACAAAAGAAATCTGTCAGTGTTCTTTTCATTTTCTGTCTTCTTCAGCCCTTTGCATTAGCTCCCTGTCACCTGACAGCGGAAAGC